CTGCGACCGCACGTTTGGCACACGTAGGGCGCGGCGTTCCCAGATGAAGACGACGAGGTCGCGGGGGCCCCAACGCCGCTTGAGCTGCTGATCGAGGCTGCAGTTGCTGACGACACATTTCTAAGAGAGCAAAACAAAACAATGGCAGAGAGTGAGTTCAACTAAGTAGTTGCCGGAGAGAATCCCACAGTTCTTGGATCGAGCGGATTGGAGGATGGGTGACAAAGCATAGCACAATTTACCTGCGCGAAGACGACGACGAAGTGGACGACGTGGTGAGCTTGCTGCTGGCAGCAACGCCTTTGCGCTTGCGCCTTGAAATGTTGCGTGTAAGGGGCGTTGCCGCAACAGGTGGCGCCGCCATTGCTGAAGGCTTTCTTCTGCCCATGCGCTTTGGCAAGCCACGCACTGCGGCTATTTGTGGCAAAACGATGCCCAATTTGGATTCTGATGTATTAGAATGTAAAAAAATGAGAAATAACATGGGACACTTGTCAGACTCAGAAAGAACAAGAATGCAAATTCTATATCTATAACTATATGTACTAGTCTGTCTAACTGATCTCGAAAAAAGCTCTTAAACCGCTCCACACTCATTAGTACTCTAAAACTCATTGCTCTCCTTCAACAGCAGGGAAATCGCAAGCAACAACAACATCAAACAACCGGAGCCCATTTGCTTTTTTTTTGTGTTTAGTAAATTTTATGTTTTATTTTTTTTTACTGTTTATCTTTTAAATGTAATGCAAGTTATAAAGTTCAAGTAAAAATAGAAATGGTAAGAGAGCAGAGGTTAAAAACATTTACCAACTACAAATAGATTGACGGTAAAGAACTAATTATTATATTGTTTTTTTTTTTTTTTTGATTTCCTTTTTTATTATTATAATTATTTGTTTTATATATAGTATATATAATAGAAGTAGTATAAATGTAAGCATTCACAATTGTTAAATAAATAGTTAATTTAAATAAACAGCCCCCCACACGCACATATAGGCACCGGTGCTTTCGATAAGAACGGGAAAACCAATCTGAGCTTGTGATGCTCTCGTAGGACAAAAGCTTTGACGATGCAACCTAAAAGCATATGGAATTATCTTGGCTGTGCTTTGAAAAGTGTAAACTGGGTCAAGGCCATGAAAATAGCTCTTATCTGGGCCGCAACCCAAGACATGGAGGCAGATGAAAAAAATAAACACAAAGACACGACCAACGCATTTGCGCCAGGGCCGGTTTCCAATTTCGAAAAACAACATATCAAGAGAACATTTCGATTATTTTGTCCAACTCCAAATCTGCATAAATGCAATAAATAATTTATCCAAGCCTAACTCAATACAAAAGCAGTCCTGCTTTAAGAGAAATGGTCCGAAAAGTATTGGTACCCGATCCTATTAAAAAGTACGAACTAGCAATTCCAGTTGCCACAAAGGAAACCCAAAAAAACGGTTAGCCCACATAAACATATGGCGAATAAAATGTTTGCTCACAAAAAATAATTCAAAGCAACAATAACACCAACAACAATAATTCCGGCACCAGTGTATAACGCTTATATATGTTTAACAACATAGTAGTAGTAGTAGTAGAAGAAGAAAATAAACTGATTGAAATATACTGGCAGATATGCAAATTCTACATATACTGTATAGCGTTATATGTATTTGCAACGCATAAAGATTCACACATACAATAAACATAACCGACCTTGAACTTGACCAAACGTTTTAATATTTTTAATTAAAAACACAAATAGCACAGAGCTCGAGCTCCGACATAGACACTGCATAGTATATAAAGTCGTCTGTATGTAGTAGTATCTGTGTACAGCGGATTGTGGAAATGTATTGGCGATTGTTGTCTGTTTGTGCACAGTCATGGCTATAGAGATACTATGTACATTTTGAAAGAACGAACCGGGCATTGGGATGGACGCAACAAATACAAGTCTCTCGATCAGGGAAACACAACAATAGCAGAAAATAATGCCAAAGTTGAAAACAACAATGTATCAGGGTTTCAGTAAGATTTAGCGATTTGGCAATAAAATTACACAACCACAAGGGAGAGTGAAAACGTAACTATACTATATTGGCACCACTTGCATCTTCACTCGAACTCAATTTGCTATTTTTGACCAACAAACAAATTTAACAAAACGAAAATTCATCATAAATGATATCTTTATGTGTTTAAGCATACAAATAAAGAAGGTTTTAAAAAGTACGGTACATACGAATTTCTGAAAAGAACAGTTTTAAATAAAGCTTACCCTTGAATATTTAAAATAATTTTTTATTTGCAAAATACTTGCAAAGCTCTAAGCGGGAGCTTGTCCCATCTTCATACATTACCTGAAAAAGCTGAAAATTCTCTTTTGTGTGTGTGTGTGTGTGAGTGGAATATAAATGATTGATGATAACGGTGAATTAAATGTTGGGAAGGAATATTCGGGAGGGTATTTGTTTAGGTCATTTCTTTGGATGTTTAAAACAAAAAATAACTTAAAAGTATCAAAATTTATTTCATTTTTCTTCGCACTTCGCTCGACCGATACCGTCGAGCGAAGCATACTTACCTGAAACCACAAAAATTAGACATAGTTGATTGTAGAATAGCTGTCGATGATGTTGTTGGTAGATGATGTCGATCCGGATGCCAAAAAAGCAACAAATTGTACCTCACCATCTGATCATCAGATCGGATGGCTACGTGCTTTTAATGACAATAGACGCAGGATAGATAACTGGCTGGCTGCATTCTCCGAACTGCTCGCAAATTATTCGTGAAACACTTTGCACTTGACTTTCAAAAATTGTTTTGACTTGAACACGGTGCACGTTCTTTAGAGACCATGCAATATCGAAGAACCGCAACCGCACAAACTTGAGAAACCGAGAAGAACGCGTTGACAAAATTGACAAGTTTGTCAAATACTCGAGAATTATAACTAGTATCGGAAATGACCGAAATTAAAATCCATAAAAATAAATAACGAAAAAGTCCCGTCAACCAAAATAAAAAATAATATAATATATATAATACATAATAAAGTACAGCATTTTACTTAAATTAAAATTTGGAAACTGCATGCGTATTTCTTTGTTTATATCAAAAGTTCAACAACAAAACTAAAGTGGTGTACAACATTAGCACGCGTTGGAGGGGCCAACATGTAGACATATGTATGTAGTATGTGTATATATGTATGTATAAAAGGGAGAACAAAAATGGCAGATATTTTTGTATGTGTGTATGTTTATGTGTGTCTGTGTGAGTGTGGGTGAAACGGAAAAGTATGCGTTTATGTTAAGAGTTTCATTGTTTATAAATAACAAGCGAAATTATCTTAAAAAATGCAATCAAATGAAATCATTGGATTTGAAGAAAACTGCAAGTGGCCAACATTTTTTCCCTAGACTTATCGCGCCCGTACTAGTAGCAAGGAATTTTCGTCATCTATGTATATATTAAGCCTCCAGTGGATTTGATTTCTTCAAGCTTTGACATACTGAGAGAGAAATGTGAGAGGGGAGCGATTGATATTAAGGGGGAAATGCTGCTCTGCTTTGTTTTTTAATAGCTGTTGAATTTCTTACGTGCTCTGTTGTTTTAAATTGTGTTTGTGGTGCGTTGTTGATAAGCGAAAAATTAGCGAGCATGGTGGGGCACAAGCAAGCAGCAGCAGCACATTGTGCAATCAACAATTTGCACACACACGTCAACACACACGCACATACACACGAATTTGTAGATATATGTGTATGTATGTATAGTGTTTGGTTGGATTATGTGAAATTTGAGTCTAACATTTAAGAACTAACTTAAAACACAACAAAATGGTGCCAGAAAACATGATATGGTTTTTATCATAAGTACATTGCTAGCCTGTATGTATTGTATGTTAGTGTGTATTGATGAATTAGGCTAATGTTGGTCGTTAAAACAACCAAAAAAATGCATGGTAATGTTTCCTTAGAGAACTCTGTCAACTTATTAATTAGAGTTATGGGTGTTTATGTGGTACATATACGAAAGAATAATATATATTTATAAGCAAATAATTAAACATAATGCGTTACAAAATACCAAACAACAAAAATACCAGTAAACAAATAATACATAGAGAACGAATGATGATTAAGTTAAAAAATGTAAGTAAAATAGTGGGTAGCAAATGTGTGATAATGTTCGAGTGTTATGTTAAAAAAAGGAATAATTAAAATTATTTGTTTATATATACAAAAACTAGTTATACGAAGTATGTGTATTATAAAAATAATTATAAAATATTAACGTATAAAGTAAGTAGTTAAAAAAGTAGTACTTTCAACTTGCACAAATTATTTCGTTTTTAGTTAATTATTTTTTTTAAATCAAGCGACAGCAAAAACCACCGCACCAACAAAAAAAATATAACGAACCAGCTCAATTAATTTAATGACAAACGTCATTAAACCGTATATTAATAATACTATTTAACATTTTGCAACATTGTTGGCTTGTTGTTGATGTGGTTTTTGTGCGCTTATAATACTCTTTTGTTGCTTGTTTTTTCAATCTTCAATATATTCTTCTAAATTTTAACTATCATAAATTCTCTTTTAATGGGTTTTCTTCGTTTTTAACGTTTAAGAGCTTTTTTCTGAGCACGACTTGTTTAAGTATTGTACATGTAAGATTTCAAAAATTGAAGTTCTTTTCATCTTAAGTAAAGGTAAAAAAAAAGCCGAGTGCGTGTTATGATCAAATTATGTTCATCGCTTAAAGCACCCGTCGTTCTTGTTAGCGGAATGTTTTATGATTTTTGGAAATGTTCTTTAGGATTTTAAATTTGAACTGTCGTGCTCGCTAGATATTCTTTCTTTAGGAAAAGTATAAATATATTGCTTTCTACAACTGTTGTTTTGCTTTTTCATTTGTTCATGTTCTGTTAGCTCATCATTTTAACGCACTTGGGCGCTCTTTCTATATAAATATTGCCTTGAAAAACTTACCTTGTGGATCCCGTTGCTGTGCATCCTGTGCGGCCATTAGTCCGAGTTCGTCCTGAGATCTATCGTGTTGCCATGTTGTATATGCTGAAAAATTAATTGTAACACAATTAAGATCAAGCACATATTTCATCCATATTTATAGAATTGCGATGGCTTATGTTTTCAATCATATAAGCAATCACTATCCCTCTCATTTTATGACTCACCTTGACTAGATCCTTCGCCACCCTGACTGGTGCCCGCCGTTTGGTCCAGCTCCTCCATTGTCATGTCCTCCTCATCCAATGTCAAATCTTCAACGTTCTCATCATGCGCATCCTCATCGTATTCGGCTTTAGGTTCAATAACCAATTCCGAGCCTGCCGATGAAACACTACTATCTTTGTTCTTCTGTTTGTGATTCGACTTTTCGATCGTTGCTGACAACTGTTTAACCACCACACCAGTGTGGACAGCAGCACCTCCTGCTGCGACCACATCCATATCTTCGACGTCACCGCCAGCGCCAACATGAGCGCCTTGGGCGCCACCAGTTTGTACATTGTCGGTGTTAATGGCATCGCTTGTTTGTTGCTGTTGTTGTCCTGCATTGACACCACCTGCAGCAGTTGCAGCGGCTCCTTGGGCGGCTGTCGATGTTAGTTTAGCGCTTTCAGTCTTTTTGGTAACGTTGGTGCTGGTCAATGATGATGGCTGGGTCGTAACTTGGCTGGCAGCAGCCACATTGCTGGCTGAGGAGCTGGCGGGCATTTGGGTGGCGACCATTGCGGAAGCGGCGAGGCCGGTGTTCGTTTGTTGGAGGATTGACTGATTTGACACGACGGCGGCTTGCAACACCGATGAATTGGAATTGTCGTGCGCATCTGCAATTAAGACATATGTAGTTCACCACAATTAAGGCTCAGCTTAGCACTTACCATTTTCAATACTCCTACGTCGAACTTTTCGGCGACGACGCGACGGACTTGAGGAACCCTCGCGTGATCCGGACACATCCTGCGCATCCATGGCACCGGTGGCCATGCGAGCCCGCTTTGTCTGCTCCAAAGTGTAGGCTCCGCCCAATTTGCCGCGATGATGTGATTCCGGTTTGGGCGCAGTAGCTGCGTTACCGGTGCGATTATCGGACAATCCCTTGATCTGCAGTGATTCGGCGGCCTTGAGCAAAGCAGCCAGCTGATCTTGCGAGATATTTACTTCGCCACGATACATATAGTCCATCATAGCGCGCAGCTCCTGGTATTTAACATCCTTAAGTATGAATATTGGATGCTTATCATACTGTTCCTGGAGAAGGGTCTGCAAAGTAAAAAATATGCCCATTAAAAAAATGATGTTTTAGCGTGATTGATTGATCGATATAGGAAATCATGGTAATGGTGATTCCGAATATTGTATTCTATATTCATTTTGGGTCCCACTCTTGTAGTTTCTGAGAGTCGTTGCAAAATTTTGAATATTTTTTTTTTTACCATTTTTGACTTCCAAAGAAAAGTAATAAAAGGAGTGGTTGTATTATACTTACAGCAAAGTAGGGACTGCATGCTGAGAGTACCACCTTGTGGGCCTTAAGAAATTTACCCTCGGCGGCGAGCGTGCAATCGACTAGTGTCTCATTTTCCAGTAACGTATCGAAAACACTGATTAGAGTACTCTGGTGGTTGTTCCACCGCAAACAGAACTGCTGATCGTCGTCCATTTTGGTGGCGGAGGCGTTGTTTGAGATTGGACTTTTGTCGACTAGTCGACGGTGTCGACGTTGCTAATTTGGAGTTGTGCTCTCTCTGCCTGGTGCGATTTTTCCTTTCCGCAGTCGTACACAAGTTAAGTTGATTTAAGAGATGGGAACTTTGAAATAAAGCGCTTGGCTCGTTGTAGTCTGCAGTGTAGTTTCTTGTGATTTTTGGTTTTTCAAATGCTCGTAGTTATGTCATTTCAACTGCAGAGATAGAAACAATAAATTACATTTAGTATAATTATTCAACAAATTTACATAAATAGCAGGGTGCAACTTAATACGTGAATTGTAAGCAATCAAGGGCAAGTTCACGTTCAATTTCAGCAAAGCAGAAAATCAACAACCCATAGTTTTTTATATCAATAAATAGATCTCCGGGCAGTTGCAAGCAAACACAAAACATAATCCACAAACAAAACCGACTGCAGTTATTTAAAGTTCCCTTTTTATTCATTTTCGTCGGTAGGTATGCTAACCACCAAATCTACCACACACTGCTGCTAAACGATGACAATGTCACAGTTGCTAATACAATACATATACAGTTCTGCGTTAGTGTTTGAGATCGATGAAAACGATAAACTTTACATGTTGATAGCACACTGACAAGAAACATAAAAAACAGGGGTACTTTTGAACGAGCGGCACGCACTACCAACTGCCTTTGTTATATTACGGCGCTGACGTTGGCGTCACTTGAGTTTTTGTTTTTCTGTGTAGGTTTTTCTTTGTGGAAATTTTCAGAAGCGATAACTCAAGCCTTCATGGTTTTACAAATTCTCTATACACACAGACACACACACACGTGCACACATTAATTTAAGCGTAAGTTCAGTTCAATCAATGCTCGAAATTCTCGTTTAAACACTGTTCATGCTGATTAAAAATAGAACTTTTTTTAAATAGGAGCAGCAGTAAAGTCATCGACAGCGTCGCGCACATAGCAGCTCTCTCTGTCTCTCTCACACACATACACACACAACATGCATAAGAAAAATGAAGTGGGTACATAAAAATTATTTCACAATTTTTTCATGTTGAATATTTAAGTAGCTTGTTCACAGCTTTTCAAGAAGATAGCTAAATGTGTTTTCCATTTTTGATATGTACTACAACTCACATTTGTTTGCTTTTTTAACCATAGAACACTCTTTTGTTGTGTTGATTTTTTTCTTTTTATGTGTATTTCACATATGTATATATATACATATACATATGTTACTATTGAAAAGTCAGCAAACCGCAAAAGTTGGCGATCTGCCGCACGCGATATCCCAAACAAAAGCTCCAAGCGTACGAAAGCAACTGAAACGGCGCAATCGCTCGACTAGTTGAGAGGCCCTTTTCGCTGTTTGTCGAATATTCGCTCGACACGTTCGTTTACTCGTCCGCTCTCTCGCTCGCGCATATCAAAATGGCCGCCCATAACACGAAGTTGTTTTGTGCGAGAGAAGAGTTACACACACATATAAATTGAGAGAGCGAACGTAACGCATTTGGGATAATGCTGTGAAAATGTCAAAGCAGTAAACAGTAAGAGTTATGTATGTATGGTACATATTCAGGTAAAAAAAAATTAAACAAACTGTTATTTTCAAATACAAATGAAATTGCAACGCGCGAGAGAACGTGCTGAATGCATGATAACGGTAATACATTCACATTACAGGCACCCATGTAGAATGTACCTACATACATACGTGCATATGTATGGCATGTACATATACACATACATGTAAGACAATTGAGCTGCAATGCTCCGCTGTGAGAATGCCACAAAAAGAGGCACAACGTCGGAGCATTTCGGTATTTGTGTGTGTGTGGTTTGCCGATTGTGCTTCTTAATGTTGTTTTTCAAAATGAAAAAGAAAACTATCCAGAAAATGGAAAATTTTCTACATAATGATACATACACATATGTAGACTTGTGGAAAAATAGCGTCTGACTGGATAAGTTGACACAATGATGGTGCATGTTAATCAAAAATATGATGAGGCCAGCTCCTCAGCTGGCGTACACTTGCTTATTTTTATGGCTAGCCATGTAGAGTTCTTTAGAAAATGAAGCTGAACGGGAAACAAAGACAACAACACATACAGATGCGCTCTCCCTCTTTCAGCGAAGGCTCCCACTTTACCATTCTTTATATGTACATACATATGTATATATTTTTTTTGCAAGTAAATAATATAAAGCTGCATGGCTTGACCTAGCACGAGGCTAACGAAAAGGTATCAACCGATCAATATAAGTACATACATATATATGTACATCTGTTTGGCCAGCATTGTTTGCTGTTCTTGTTATTGCTGTACGAAAGGAAGTAGAGAGAAACCGTTACCATTGCATTTCACATCCATGCACCGTGTGTGGGGGATCAGTTTTTCTATGTATATACACACATTTATGTATTTATACTGCACACATGCATGCGTGTGTTTTGTACTTTTGAAATAAATATGTACACAAGTATTTACAAAGCATGCGCAGTAGTTACATATGTATGTATGTATGTATATGGGAACTGGGATTGCGCCCAAGTAACTAATAAATACAAATATATGAATGTACAAATACATATGTCTGTCTAGTATGTACATAACAAATAAATGTGTAGATGTTAGTAATTTTGTCCAATGCCAAAACCCAACAGAGAGCAGTAAAAACTCCTCTTCCCCCAACTGGTGGTGCTGATGATGCATCACCGGCTAGACGTTTTCTCCGCCTCGAAGTGAGGGTTTTTCCTATACATACATACATACATGCGTACTCAATGCAGAAAAGGGGATTTAGCAGTTGTTGCTTTACTTAGGGGCAGAAACATAAATGTACTTTATGTATTTGTGCGCACGTACACATATACCGAACGACCGACAGACGAGACGAGTAGGTAAAACGGCAACAGGCCAGACCGTTAATGGCCGCCGCATGCACAACATGCAAAAAGGATCTTTCTCGTTCTCGAGCTCCTGCTGTCCTGCGCTCTTTTTTGCATTGGAAAACAAGCGCGCCCTTTTAAATGTTGCGCAGATGGTGATGGTGGAGGGTTTGGACGAAAAATGGGATCCTTTTTTTCCTACACAGTTTTGTTGTTATGCCCGCGTGCCGCCAGCGACGATGGCTGCTTGTTTGTTTCTGTTGGTGTTGGCGTTATATAAAAGTACAGTTGGACCCCAGAAATGAAAATGCACAGAGCGCACAAAGTTTACGTATATATGGATGTACGTACACTATACAAACCAAATGTATTTTAATATTGTGTTGAAGTCTACTATCAAACTACGTCCAAGGTTATAATTTTGAAGACGTTGTTAGCGAAAACTCAACTGGTTTAATCTTGCACCCGCATCTTGTATGTTGAGAATTGTTAAGCTACAACACTAGGTAATATGCAGGTGCGAAAATCAAAAGATCTGAAAATGCACCGAGTGCACAAAGTTTACTTATATATGGATGTACGTACGTGTATGTACGTACACTATACAAACCAAATGTATTTTAATATTGTGTTGAAGTCTACTATCAAACTACGTCTAAGGTTATAATTTTGAAGACGTTGTTAGCGAAAACTCAACTGGTTTAATCTTGCACCCGCATCTTGTATGTTGAGAATTGTTAAGCTACAACACTATGTAATATGCAGGTGCGAAAATCAAAAGATCTTTAAAAACACTACCTCTCAAAGAGTACATACACTCCTCACACCTCACAGAACTCATTTGATCCAATTTCATGGCAGAACTTTGAAGTGCAATGGAAATGATAATGTGTATCTATTATACAAATGTCGTATGTATCGCACGCGCCAGAATGCTGTAATCAAGCAATCCACCCCGTAGACTGGTTAGGCAAACCTAAAAGGTTCATAGCTAAGCTGGTGTTAGGAGGATGAAGGTAGAAAGGGAGACAAAAGCAAGCTTATGGTCTCTCCCGATGCCGTCGCCATCTCTCAATAACTTTTATTAGGGGTTGCAACGCATACGAAAGGAGCAACCCCTAAAAATGGGCTTCGTGATCCCCTTTGACCGTTGTTGTTGTCGGATCAGCCCCCGAACGGCAGCTGTCATACTTCTGGCTACCATAAACACACACAACATATGTAGGTATTGAAGGCAAAGGTTTTCCATGGTGTATATATGTATGTCTGTAGGAGCTCCATAAAAAATGCTCGTACTTTGTGTGACTTTCGGTGAGTGGAAATTTTTATTTTAATTCCATAGCCAGAGCAAGAATTTCAATACAATTTATGGCGCGGCTGCTGTTCTAAAAAGTCGAAGGAAAAACCGGTTCCGCAAAGAGCAAACTACAAGCAAATATACATACATATATATAAGTATGTATAAGAACTGTGCCATTTCAACAACAGAGCTCGTCGAGTTGGCAGAAAAACCAGTTTGAGAAAAACGCAAATATGAAACATTCGAAATTCATTCCACACACAAGAGCTGAAAATCGATGCTCGCTTAGCGCAGAAAAACTCATTTTATCAGGAACATGTCACTTGGAAAGAAACAAGCGCTCCACAATTCAAGATGAGCAAAACACTTTCGAACTGGAAACAACTACCACATAAAAAGTAGAAGAGTTCCGAGCAATATTTGCATAGAGGGGGATTTTTATATTCGGCCAGCACACGTAACCACTCTCCCCCCAAATCCCCTGGGTACTTTAGCAATTAGTTATACAGCGATTACTTCACCAACACACACATTCGGCTCGTGTGTTTCAATAGACTACATAAAAGATGTATATTTACGACGTAAGATTATGGATGAATACCAATATCTGCGTAGGCAGTGACTCAATAAATTATTTTCTAGTAGTTGAAAAATAAAACAACAAGCAGCCAAAACAGCAGAAGAAATCGCTCGTTTACATGTAGATAGATATGTACATATGTATGTATGAATGTTATCCATATTTATGTAGGCGTCGTCGTCCACGTTGCGCATTTGTTGTTCTCTTTGCTCCAACAACAACGCAGAAAAAGTCGTTTTTGCTATTAAGGCAAAGCGAAAAGCAGCAGAAACTTGTTTTTCAAAAAGCTATTTTAAGTGAATGTTAAGGGCTTATGGTGTAAAATTCGCAGCATCTACACCACACTGATTCTTCTAGACGACTGTTGAAAGGCCCCCGCACGCTAAAACACTTGCTGTTGGGGTTAGAATGAATTGTTTTTGAAATAAAAGAACAATAGATTTAATATATAACTTTAAGGAAGTTCCTATTTGCGGACACACATTATACTTTTTCCCATTTTAAGATATTTGGGGATATTTTTGTATTAATGCAAATACATATCACCACCAAATGGAGTGGAAATATAGAATGTCTCATAAAAAATAAAAAACAAATTAATAAAAAAGGTTAACAAACTTGAAAACTCAATAGAGAAAAAACCTGAAGGTTGGCATCAAACACAGTGATATCAAAAACACACTCATGAATGTAAGATTGCTTTTATCTGTAGGGAACTCAATCAACATATGCAGAAGCATGTTAAAGGTCTGGCCAAAAACTCGCACGATAACACGCCGACCACTGTAGGTCAGCCAAAAAATTTAAAACTATTATTGCAATTTAGCACGTTGTGTAGACATACGAATACAAGGACGTTTGTAAGAATACACAAACAAAACAAAAAACAGTCCATAATAACAGAAAAAGCATATAGAGTAAAAAACTTTATAAAACGGCAATAAAAAATAAAAGAAAATACAAAAACAATGCATTATTGCCTTTTCTTTTTACACTTGTTGCGCAGAATCAGTCAAAAGCTCTGAGTAGATTTTAAAATGTTATTGCTCTACTATAATTATTACTTGTGTGATATTTTGTATGTGTGTACGATGTAAACAAATGAAACTTTTAAATAGCAAAGAAAACAAACAATCAAAACAGGTAAATGAATTTTGGCAACAAAGCGCAGACGGCTCTAGCCACTCCATGATATGACACCGAAAATAATGTAAAAGATTTTAAAAATATACATATACATACATACATATGTATATGTATGTACATCGACCACAAGCCCGTTAGGGTGCGTGCGAGTAGGATGGGCACAAAAGCAAAGGAAAAATATGAAAATAATGAAAAATGAAAATGCAAACGTGTCTGTAGAGCACGTAACGTATAACGGAAGGTGGGCGCAGCACCAGCGACGAAGTAAAATAAATGGAAGCATGAAAATATGTGAAGGAGAGTGGGGATAAGTGAGCCGACATCGACATCGAAAGCTGAAAGAGCGCAGAAGCGAGGTGAGTGTGAAAACTGCAAACGCGGAGAGAGCACATATCGCACTTTTGCCCTCTCCCCTCAGGCAAGCATGACAAACATGAATAAAAAGCGATGAAAACGAAGTCGGCCGATGCGATGAATGCGCACCAAGCAAGAAGTGAGAGGGAGTAGGAGAGAGCGCCAGCAGCAACATTTTTTCATGTTTGACTGACTCGCTGCTGCTGTTGGTGCCATGCGGGGAAAACCAAGATGGCGGACACACATAGAGAGCTTAAAACTGCCACTTCATCTTAAATTGAAAGCATACTATTGCATATACATACATACATATGTACCTACATATTATATGTTCGTAATTGCAGTAAAATTAAAGTACACAATCCAATGACTATATTTATTTTGGCACATAATCACTGGTTTTAGTTACATATACGCTCTTTTCAAACTGTTAAATTTATGCTACTGCGCATAAATATATTTGCCCCTTTGGAAAAGGCTTATGTAACCCAGTCATGAACACACACACACAACGGCAGCACCAATGGAGAATTTTTCTTTGCAACACTTGACCTCATTTGCATTTGAACAATTAAGGGGGAAGCCCGGGGTAGACAGGTTGTGCTTGTTCGAGAAATTAGTGAAAATTGCTAGTCATTATTTAGAATTGAACAAAATGTGCAGTATATCATAGAAAGCTTTTCACTAGCTCAAAGCTCACACAACACGCATGAAAAATCGATATGAAAGTGAGGGCTCGCACACACATACACGTACACCCAGACAAATAGCATATAATACGTTGGAAATATTGATTTTTAATGCAAAAACCCACACATAAACGCAAAATAGAAAGTACAGTTGCGAACACAGTGCACACAAAGTATATTAAAATGTATAATGCATTTTGTTGCTAGCTGTTGTTTTTGTATACACACCGATATCTAGAATCACAGGCAGCACGTCGCAGTCGTCGTTTCTTGTTTCTTTTTTTTTGAAGCTTTGCACATAAAAATGATGTTAATTTTTGTTCTGTCTCCAAATACAGACTCACACACCCACGTACATATGTAGCAGCACGTTATATGTTGGTATATGTATGTGTAAAAACCCGACGCGAAAAGCAATAAAGTTAAATTTATTTTTATTTAAGAGCAAGGTTTTTTATGTGTTTGTTTCTTAGCTGCTGCGGAGTAGCAGTAGCAGTAGCAGTAAGCAGCACCGCACAACAGAATGCCGGACGCGCGGAGCCACTGAAGAAAAACTGACGACTGTCGCGCGAACAAGCGACCGAAAAGTATCTAGCCTTCTTGCCAGCATGCACGAAGTTTCGAAACTTCGGCAGAGCACACGACGACATCAAAGCGAAGAGTAAACGAGCGAGTGAGCGAGCGAGAGTGTGAGTTCGAAAAAGGTATGACAAATAGTCGATACAGAGTTGCCAACACAAATGAACCTTTAATTACAGAAATAACATTGTTGTAAGGGTTTTATGAGCACGCGCTATAAAACTTCAATTATTAGGTATTGCTAAGTTAAACTGAGCGCTTTTATAATAAAAACGAACAAGACATTAGTACATACATACACACATTACAAATTAGTGTTTATAAAATTAGCATTTGTGTTGGCAGCTCTGTTGCTGTAGTGAAGTTCGAAAATATCATTCGTTGTCGTTGCTACATGAAAATTGCTCGCGATGAGGGCGAGATTTTTTTTGTTAAGTTTTTGCCAAGGCGAAGCCATAATGTTCACAAAAACAATGGAAACGAGTGCTGAAAACTGCCGTTGGCTGTGCTATTTCTATCTCTCTTGCTTTCTTTCTCTCTCTTTTTCGTTTATAAGTACGTGCGTGTGTATTCGTTAGCGGGGGAGACAGTTTTTGAGTGGGGAAAACAACAACAATAATAAGCAATTACATTTATTCATGTAGTATTTATGGTTTTTGTTCGTAGTTTTATGTCCATGGCACTGCATTTTGTACATTAAAATTACAAATAATTTACTGTAATGTGAGGGCTCACTACTCGTTTTCCGATCGCGCACATATGTATGTACATACATATGTATGCATGTGTACGTATTGTACATACATACATATGTATGTATGTACATATGTATAAACGTCACGGATTTATTTAAGGTTCCAGCATGACCTCATCGCAAACACTTTATTTTGCCTTTTATACATACATATGTATGTACATACATACGTACATATTGTAATATGTACACATTCTCTAGAGTTAATTGTTAATATTTTTCTGATCATAGATTATTCGAAAGATTTTTCAGTGACCATTAATATCGTAATTTGTATATTTTGGAAAAAGGCCTCAAAATTACATACTTATTCGAGGCCTATTCGCGATACAATTCATTAGGAGAGGCAGTCCTAAATTAACGTTTATAGATCCCACAGCGAATGTTCCGTTAACATATGTATGTACATATGTACATACATACTTATGTATGTACATACATATATGCACACTTAAATATATTTGTGATAAGGAAAAGTTGGTGTGGAATACATACGTACATATATGTATATGTACATGTATGTGTATGAATATACGTAACTCACCTGCATGCAACGAGCAAATGCATCCAAAGAGGAAAAACTTGAAATCGGTCACGTTGTAGGCACAAGTATGTATTTGTATGTGTTTACATACATCAATATACATACATATGTACGAGTATGTAAGCTTTTCCTCAACCCAATTATCGTTTTTGCGTTACGGCGCGTTCAGAAACGATGCTACGACATCGCCGTCGGTGCATATAAACGCACACACATACTTGCACGTAAGTGCATTAAGAGGGGGAAACAACACTAACAACTATGTATGTACATATTTATGTAAATATCTCCATAGAAGTGTATTTTTTAATACCGATTTTGAATTATAACGAATTATTTTTAATACATATGTATAGCACTTTATTATTCAATAAATTTTAAAATGTTCACTGCCAATTAACCAGTTGGATTTTGTTTTATATAACGTATAGTAACAGTCTGGCGGTGTTGAATATTGAAAATATAAAGTTTAAAGGGCCGGCCAACCGAGCACGAGCGCACAACGGTTTCATTCCTGAGAGTTGCCGTTTGTTACTAAAATGGCGAGTGAGAAATAAACGCAGAAACAAACAAGAACCGCACGAAGCAAAAGCTACAGCACAAAACATAGCAAAGCAAAATTGATTGTTGTTGTTATTGTTGCTACTGCATTCGAAAAACGAAGATCGTTCGTGCCAGGTCAGCTAGAACATGAGAGCGAAAATCGCGTATATACCATACATGCCTACAGATATGCATTCATACATGCATAAATGTGTGTGTGTGTGGAGAGTGAGACTTCGCGACGACACGATGGTTGACTGCGTCGTCGCTTTTAGCAAATGGAAATGCTAAATGGAAAAGCAAAGAAAATGTGTTTACATAAAACAGTTACATATGTATGTATGCATGTGTATGTATTGGTATGTAAGTTTTTGGTATTCAATTTTTCAGTACGCACGTATGTATACATATGTACATATGTATGCACACAAATGTATGTATGTACATACATACATATGTATGTGTGTTTGCATGGATACTGTGACTAATTTTATAATTTCGCATTGAGGCGCAAATTTCAAGACTAAATACTAGCACACATATGTACACATGTATGTACATACATACATACATATGTGAAAATACGAGCATATTCTTAATTCTGCAAAAGTACAGCATACATGTCCGACTTCCATCATACCCACTTGGCAGAGTCTTTACATTTGTAAGATCTACAAAAACGTCAAAGACATGAATAACTGTATTATTTAGTCACTTGTCGTGTCACTTGGTACACATGTACATACATACATATTCACATGTATCCTTAAGTTGCACTCATGATACATGTACATATGTATGTACATGTGTACCAAGTGACACGACAAGTGACTAAATAATATAGTTATTCATGTCTTTGACATGTAGATCTTCTTCGTTTTTATTATATTATATTTCATTTTGTTGGAGTCGTGAAAATCCCCCAAATTATATACATATGTACATACTATGTATGTATGTATGTTCATATGTATGTATATTCTATCAACATGACAAGACAAGAGTCATTCTAGATACATACATATGTATGTATGGCTCGAATATCGAAAGGTATAAGAGCTATCACCCAGAGGAGGTAAAAGTGTCATATGCGTTATAATTTCCTTGCATATGTACATCCATACATATGTATGTATGTAAAATACATACATACGGGAAAAGGAGAATTTTGATCTTTCTGAGCTTTCTAATTAACGTACGATTCAATCTTAGCACATTGAAGACACACTGGCAAATGTATGCACATACAAACATACATATGAACATAAAGTTTTTTCCCAGTTTTATCTGCATTAACAATTGCCAAACTGGATTTCGGATGCTTAAAAATAAACGATTACTTGTTTATTAGTAAGAAATACAACAATAACAGCACAAGGCAACCATAATTGTGTCGAGCTTCTAAAAATTGCGCACATTATTTACTGATGAGGACGTCGCTGCCGAACCCTCCCCCATCCAACTCCCCCTCCCCTACCCAGTGGCAAAACACGCCAAGATCAAGCGCAGCACTGCGCTGCTTTCAACCTGCCCTGTCAAGCTGAAGCTGTTGAGGCTGAACGACGTGAACGCGCAAAAAGAAATTAACAATAAAAGTTGAAAATTTTTTGGAATGACGAAGAAAATATTTATATGTATGTATGTCTGCATGTACATACGTATGCTGAAAGAAGAACGGCAGTCAAAAACTTGTTTTTCGACGGTTTTTTGGCAACATTTTTGTTGGTGGTTGAAAGACAATTTATAGCATTGTTGTTGGCTCGCAAAGTGAAAATTTTTGCCGCACCCCGCTCAGTCCGTTGAACAACAATAACAGCAACGACGGCGAACGAACACTCGTATCGTGATTTTAAAGCTAAACAAATTCCATTCCATTCCAAAGCCGCCAAAAACGACAGCAACAACACCGACTCAATCATTTAATTTTATTTTTATTTTTTCAATGGTTTTCGTTGCGCTCACTTTACGGTCTCTACCGCCGTCGCTGCTGCCGACACCGACGCCGACGCTTTTCGCAACTTCGAAAGCTTTCATGTTGATTTTGTATGCAAACAAGGCACAAAGGGTGTTGGGATAGGGGAGGAGTGGCATTTTACATTTTATGATGACCACGCGAACCGATAAAGCCATGTACAAACATTTAGATCTTTTGAAGCATAACAGCTAGAGATATTAAACTTGATTTGCCTTATCCGTACAGAGATGGAGTTTTTAGGCACCATACACACAAACGAATTTGTTCATATTATTTTATGGGTATGCATAGAGACGATCAATAAAAAAAAATAACTCTTTGTTGCTAAATACCATGTCGGAACAAAATTGTCAATAGCCAAGCTTCACTGAGATCGGAAAATGAAATTTGATAATCGTATTTCTCCCCCTATACTATCTTAGACGCCAACATCGCTCTTGGCTTCCATCGAATCGGAGTCGTTGTTAGTTACTTTTGATATTGCATAGAAATATTGAAAAAATATTATAATAAATTGTTACGTTTGGATATAAAAATTGATCTGTTTATTAGAATATCGCCATCTTTAACATCAATTACATACTATATATACTACAAGTATATTCTCTAGGTCGGTTCTTGTTTTCATTAATTGTTTTTCAGAATTTTCTACACTACTTACTACTTCACGTCATTTCGAGTGTGTGTTTGTGTTTCCTAATGTACGGGTATGTCTGTATGTTCTTGTAAGTGTGCTTGAACTTTTGTCTGCGATTGCGTCTTTTTTCCCAATTTCAATACTGTGCTGGAACAAGAGCCTCGATTTCTTTTCGCGTTCGAAACCATATTAGCACGAACCCGTGTACATATGTGTGTGAGAAGCTGAGAGTGATTGATGGCTTTGGCTTTTTAAAGAGCCCGCCTTCAACGAAAAGAAAGAACGTTTACTTCGGCATGTCGACACTTATATACCGTACCCTCCTAAATATAGTTTTTCGATTTTTTTTTCAACATATGTACATACGTATATATTATTTGTATGGTTTTAATGTAGAGTCCGAACTGACTTTGACAATAAAGCTTCCATTATCAAATTTTGATCCAAGAACTTCATATAAATTTGTTTCATACAGTTACTTCGTATCTTATAGTATGTACATATGTATTTATACTTGTATTTTAGTTGTCCGATTAGGTTGATAGAATCTTATAACATTCTTTTGTGCCATCAGGTCGTATAAAAAATAGTTGGATGGGTTCATATCATATCATATACATATGATATATGTACATTCGTATAGTAGACCGATTTTGTCAGGAATAATTATTATAGTCTGTGAATAATTTAAGCTCAATAACTTTAGAATGTAGCTCGCAGTGCTGATCATTTATACATGCACGGCATGTTCTATAATTTACAAATATCAGACCAACTTCAATATACATACATTTTGCAAGGCGACAGTGAGCCGAGACAGCTCCCACAATACATACATGTGTATGCACAGTACATACATATGTTTGTTAATGGAAGTTTCTGGTTTTCTTTAGTTACGTTTTGGGGTCGACACACAATATATCAGAAGTTCGCTAATGTGTAAAGTATATGCATACATTGGAACTAGCAGTAATCAAAGCGAAGGTGAATTGCATGTGTCAAGTGAAAAGGAATTCTTAGACATCTAGGAAGAAATAGCCAGTCCATATTCCAACCCAAATACAGTTGCACATCGAAATGTTCTCAGGCCAAGACTTTAGCTTCTTCAGTTCAGCGAAGCTCAAAGGCGTTGAACAAACATTCTGGAAATAAAATTGCTTAAAATGTACGAGTATTCTTAGCAGTTTTCTAAGTACTTCCACGAAATACTTGATTTCATTAGGTATCCGTTGATGTGGACTATTTAATGGCTCCAATTCCTGCTAAGCCATAGCAACATCGTATGTTTATACATTCGTGCATGCATACATACATATGTGGCAACCAGAACAACAATGTCTGATCCGCCCCTTTTATATTGATTTTTCAAAACAATATCCGCCAACGATATCAACGGACATGAAATTTAATTTCACTTTCTAAGCGACGGAAGCACCGCAGTCGCAAGCAAGCACAACAGGATGGGGTAGGAGAGGAGCTCGGTATGTGGTAGGGTGGTAGGTAGGGGGTTGTTTTAGCCGGTCATTTCGTAAAGTAGTACAGTTCCTGCTGCTGACACACAACTCGGCGGCAACTGAGCATGATCCCCTCGTGGCTACTGTGAACGCAATTCAACCCTGCACCTTTTGGGGTTGGCTGTGGCTGTGGCTGTGACTGTGGCTGCAACGGAAATGTGAATCGAAAAAGCTTTTCCTTGCCTGTCTGCCGCAAACAACCCTGACGTGGAGCAGCGACAACGAACGTCAGATCGTCTGGCGGCGGGTGTTTAGGGGTTGTCGTTTAGTGCTGCGAGGGCGCGCAGGAGAATGGCATGTGGCCGGCTGCTGCAGTCGTCCTGTTTATTAGGGTGGAAAGTCGATGTTTCGACTCGAGATCCGCTATATACACACTAACACATACAGGCCACACAGGGCATCATGCAAGGGTTGTTTCCGGCTCTGTTGAGCTCCGGTACCCAATGCGAATTCCCCCCAAATATAGTCGAAAAATGCGTCAGCTGCCAGTGATCACATGTACAGACATACATATGTACATACATACATATGCATGTTTGAGTGTGTGTGTATGTATGTAATTTGCGAAAAAAGCAGGTTGCTCTTCAACCCCCTAAAATGCAAGTAGCGGAAACTCGGAAACCGAATGTTTTGGAAGCCATGAAAGCAGATATTCAATGAAAAGTGGAATCGAACTTTTATATCATTTATATGCCAGTTAAGTTTCAGATAATGGCATATCAACATAACACGATTAATAGAAAAATGTTTTGAATCAGAAACCCTTTTACCCTTTGGGTATAGTGCATAAAATATCCAAAACAAGTTTTATAATATGTAACTATCC